AACAAACCCAGTAGTTCCAGTGCCCTCTCGAGTGCCAGGTTGCCCTGTCGGCTACGTTGACTGTGGAACCTGCGTATGTGTCCCACGTGGCACATGTCAGTGGTGTCCGGGTGTGTCCTTTATTGGAAACTCTTCAGATGAAAGCAACCGAAGGCTATAAACGCTGACCTCTGACTTGTATTGTATTTGAGTGACTTGTACGTGTGCATTCTCTTGCGTGTAAAGCTGGCATTTGTACAGTCGTGCTTTACTCACGAACGCCAATGATTCTCTGTGCAGGAGGCTACTGGTTGTCTTACTCTGCCACATGTCGCCAAGAACGGAGGAAGTTTGCACAGACACACATGCAGGTGCTTAAGCTTCCATCTTGCTGACAACCAGCTCCAAGCTCCACATGCAGAGGGCTCGAATGACATGTCTGAGGCCTGAATCGAACTCGGCCCACAAGAGCTGGGCGACCGGAGATCGCACAAAGCGACCAGCCAAGAAACGCGTCCAGTCCAGCGCGTTGACGGAGGTTGGTGTCGTTCGACGTGGTTTGCGTCGTGGTCCGGCCAGCCACGAGGAGAAAGTAGACGCGTTTTGCCGCATGTAGCGGGAGGTTGATAGATGGTTGCCTCATGGTTTTGTGCCTAGCACAGCACAAGTCTTTAGGATTCTAGGATCTTTGCAAAGCAGCGGGCCCACCATTTGATACAACACACACGCACCTGAAACACGCTGCCAGGTGTCCAGCCTTGGCTGAAGCGGGATGCTTCGACAAGGCAAAGCTATTTAGGTCAGCATGGCTTGGAGATTGGGGACCAAAAGGCCTAGATGTGAGAAGAACTCTTCGCATGTCAAAGAATCAGGTCGACGAGCCCCGTCCTCTCTGTAATCAACTGGGCCAGAGAAGCAACTATGTAGCGTGAGGTTTACCATGGTTTACCTTCAACACACATGGAAGATCATGGAAGTAGAAAAATCCTGTTAGTAAGATATTCCTCCTTCATCCTGCTTCATCCGGTTTCCTTCGCTGAGCTACCGAGCAGGTGACCCCAACTCCCGCCGTTGAAAAACCCCACCCTTTTGGACATCGCCGGACCGGAGGAGTTCACCTGCGAGCGCTGCTGCGACACCAGGACGACCGGGGTGGGGGTAGAGTCGAGCACCCGGAAGGGCCCAGCAAAGGACGAGGGGTCCGGAGTCTTGGTGGAATCGGGGACTGGATATTTTGGGTCGGCCGCGGCAGCCATTTGTGCCAAGATATAGCAGTGGTCGGTCTGTTTTTGGTGTAGCTGTCCACTTATTCGACTACTGGCCCAATTGTGTTCAGAGGACTGAAAAAGCACTGCCCAAGGTAAAAGGATCGGTCTTGGCATCGGCATCATCTTCAGCAAGTGTTTGTATTAAAAGCTTTTCTGTCAATTTCACCAGCCACTTCACCTAGCCACAAGGGCTTTCCATAGGCCTGGCCGTGGGTCAAAAAAAGGAAAAAACCCGCGTTGACCACACATCTCACATGAACAGAATTGACTTATCATCAAGGGAAGTCAACCTACGAAGGATTTTCGGGTGCGGGGCCATTGACCCAGCGCCATTTCTGTTTGTCCCGACGAGTTGCCGCAGGGCCATCCCGGTTGGGGATCTCAGCTGTTGGATGGGCGACATCCGCTTCCCCACCTGCTGTGGCCTCACGAAGTGCGCGTCCGGGCGGTCCCGTTGGTGTGGCAAGCGTGTTTGGGGGCGGGGTGGGATGTGGGGTAGGTATAGGTAGATGCTTTTTTTGCAGTAGCTGGTCGCTTGTGCAAGCTGAGCAGTGGATTTTTGGACTTGATGTCTATAGGCGAAAGCTAAAGATGCTGAACTCTCGTACGTCGTACACCTTTTCTAGAGTTTGTGGCCCTGCCTTTGGTGGGCTAGCAGCTAGAGGAACGTATAGGAACGTACATCGCTGAGCAGACCATTTGCTTTCTCATGGCTCGGTGGTGAGGGAGTCTCCCATCTGAATTGGGATTTTCGTGGCCTGGCGGGTGTGGCGTGGCTTTTGGGGCAGGATTGTTAAATATGAGTGTTGGTTTGTTTCAGAACAAGCTAGGTATACGCACACCGATTCCGGCTTTTGAAGTAGCAAGCGCCAGAATTTCTGTCCTAGATATTGACAGACCATGTTTTTGTGCCTGAGAAAAACATGGATTCTTTTTGAAACCTTCCTGGCAGATGTCTGGTTCCCTCATTGGCAGACATGCTTCTTGGTGATACTTTCAGAGTCGGGTCACCACTTTCACAACTCTCCAGGGTGAGTGGACGTCGCAAGCGCGTGCCAGGTTGCGCATGCAGGCGCAGGGTCAACGGCGGCGTTGGCAGGGGTCAAATTCAAAGGTGGGTCACATGACAAGCTGTGTGCAATTTGGACGTCTGCTCACCTGCATTTCAAGGCCAAAACTGGCCCAAGACTGAGCATGCTTCTAGCTGCTACTAGCTTTTGTATCTTTTGTGCCATGGATAGACAAGACTCCTTTCTTCCTCGCCTGTTGTTTCCTGTTGTTCTTACAGTCTACTTGAGAGCTCCAGTTGAGGGGGGATCTCAAGTTCATGACCCCTAAGAACTTCAACACCACCACACCCTTGGGATTTCATCCCACCAGCAAACGACATGACGGGCGTTGCGCTCCACCGGAAATCGCTTTCCCACTGCTTTCCCACGGGAATGGCATCAGCCCTGGTTGGCCGCATGGAACTTCAGCTGCGATGGATGCGCCGTTGGAGCGCACCCCCCCACAAATGCATCGGTCAGGTGTAGTGGACCACGTCTAAAGATGTGGCTTCTGACCGATCGGAATGGTAAGCTCTTATTGAGAAGTACTTTAGGACCAAACATGACAGTTGCGGAGGATCTCCATCCCAACTCACATCCTTCGCCCTTTTCTTTACCCACCAACCCGCGATGTCCCGTCCGCGGCCTTCGGCGCGCGTGGAGGCTGCCACCATGCTGCCGGCCATGGATCACTTGTCGACCCCGGCCACGTGCCCGCCCAATGCGCAGGTGCCACGGTGCGGAGGACGGTCGCGGTTCGGAGAGGATGGGGCAGTGCCAAGTTCCAAGCTCCAACGGTGCGATGAGATCTTTTGGAGGCCGGAGGCTGAAGCCGTGGTTCTTAGCAACTCCATGAATACTCCCAAGGCCAAACACTATCAAACAGTCTGAAGCCGCTGTTAGCTGTTAGCTACAAACCGATGTTGATCCATCACATCGGTAAAAACCAGGCTGAACCATTCGGTTTTGAGCCCCTTCACGGCCAGAAGCACTGCTTCGACGCTTATTTCCCCTGCGAGCGGTGTCCGGCACTGAGGAAGTTCTCGGGCTCTTTGGACCTCTAAGCCGGTAGGGCTTAAAATGATACCAGCATAGACCCCAAACAGTTTCTAAACGATTCGTTTGGACCAATATTGGTCAAAAACGATTTCTTGGTACCCCAACAGTAAACTGTTTGGGGAAAAAGAAGCAACTACCATCCGACTCACTAACATGGAAGTGGAAAGCCTTCCCAGTGGCCAGAACGTCCATTTCCATGTGATGTGTTCGTCCGAGTGCCAAAAGCGAAGAGCACATGAGAACCACGTCTCACATTAGGAAAACATCTCAAGCAAGTTATGGCCTTGCCGCAGGCTTCTGCGTTGGTACTGAAACGCCCAAGATGCAGGTGCTGGCTATGGATCGGCGTTTTGGTTTTGCAGGTAGTGCTGCCGTGCTGATGCTGGTGCAGGTGCAGGTGCTGGCTGTGGATTGGCGTTTTGGTTTTTGCAGGTGCTGCTGCCGTGCTGATGCTGGTGCAGGATGGTGCAGGTGCAGGCGCTGATCAGCGCTTCGTTTTGTGGGTGCTGCTGCCGTGCTGGTCCAAGCATGACATCATGTCATGTGAGGGACGACAGTGTCGACATCATGTCATGCAAGGGATGACATCATGGCATGCCCAGGGATGACATCATGTCATGCCAAGGATGACAAACCTATAGATTTGGAGGACCTGTGGGGTCGCATGATAAAACAAGACAGGAAGGACATAAACGTACAGTGAAGGAGGGGGGGTGCGAACCAGGCGCGGCTTGTCATGTTTCTCGCTCCGCCCCGCTCGCGCACCAACAAGAAGGAACATGAAAAAACTATGTGGCAAAGTTGTTCTGCTCTATCTTCAGATCCAGGTTATGTGCCCTAAGATTCCTCCAAGAAAGTATGTTTCCCCACGTGGCAGATCACCACAGGATTTTGGCCTGTGTGTCTCATCCTAAAAACGACATCATCTTTGAATTTCCCAAGAAACCCCAGGAAATCCCACTCTTGAGTCCAAGAGTTCCAAGAACATCTTCGTGTTTTGCTCCCCTTGTCTCGGTCCCAGAGAGCTGGGCCGCGCTCTCGCCCGTCTCGTCCGGCTCCTCGTCCCCATCTCGTCCGTCTCGTCCGGCTCCTCGAGGTTGCGACACCCGACGAGGGGCTCAAGGGGATCTGGCCTGTTGGGTGCGCCCGGGGGATGTTCACCGTACGCCCAGGTGCTGGCGACAGACACCCATACAAAGTGTGAGGACATTGTATAGAAACCATGTAGAACAATGTGTATACTTTAATTTTGCAAGCGGTGTTGTTCCCTTTTTTTGCACTTACCTACCATGGTAGGAATGGGAATGACGAAGATGTAAGGCGGGGGGGTGAGCCCAAAAGCCCTTGTTCACTGCCACGGGCTGCTTCCAACCGCCGTTGATTTAATAGGCTTTACTGAACCACCATTGCTTTACTAAGGATTTTACACTACAAACCAGGTCAACTTTTCGTGGCCTTGGCCCAGGGTATGTGTTGTTTGGCGTTTTCCGAGCTTTTGCGACTTTGTGCATCATCCAGCTTGCCAGCCTGACACCGCGCCCATGGGCCTACGAACCCTCAGCTGGGGCACTCAGGAGAGGTTGGGTGGCCGGGCAGTGGGAGGTGTTTGGGAGTGTCTTAGTGAACACCAAATGGTGTTTGATTTCTAGAGCCTTTTGCGCAGGATGGGAATGTTGATTTTTTCCAATCTGTTTTCGAACATCATCGACTGGATGGTCACCTTAGGTGTTTTTCTTTCACTTGATCACCTGACTTTGTCCACGACTCCTATGCTGAGGCTACAACTTCTGTTGTGGGCTAATGCCCTTTACCAGTGGCGAGCGGATCTCATGGTAAAAGGCCGCTTGCTTGTGGGTTTGTGGCGGAGAATAAACATCATGGGAGAGGATGGATAGTACATGCCAGGCATGCTTTTTCGTTGCCTTGCGCCGCGCGGAGCTTGTGGTGGAAAGAAACAGATCATGGGGATACTTCCAAAGACGGCCAAGCGTAGAGATCTTCGCTGCCACTTGCGATCCGTGCGGAGCTTGCGGCGTCGTGTCGGGTGAGAGACGGTGTTTCTGTTTGGGACGGTTGCTGCCTCCATCCAACGAAGGGTCATGCTACTGGTGCGCTCCATCCTTTTGCTCTTCTTCCTTTCTTCAACACGCGCCGAGCAAGACAGGAACGGAACCCCAGAAGCGTCGTTCTTCACGTGACAGGCGTCACCACAAGAGTGTACCGGAGCCTTCGATAATTTGAATAGCTTCATCAAGGATTATCCAGACCATCCATCCATCAGGCGGTTTCTCGTCCAAAGCGATGGATGCTGCCAAAGACTTCTTGGAGAGCACTGAAGAGAGGGCCGATCTCAATCAGCCACCTGGCGCGAATTCTTGACGTACCTGCGGTTTTTCGATGTTTTTCGGGGTGCCGCCATGGGTCTCGAAACAGGTCTCGAAACGGAGCATCAACTGAGGTTAGTGGACGATCAGTTTTCTTTTTTTCTCTCTCTCTCTCTCTCTTTTGTTGGTGAGACATAGTGAGGTGTAGTGAGAGACATGGTTCTCATGGATCCTTCTCTTGGGATCTACAGATGAAGCTTTTGAGCATTCTACCGTTGAAGTGAACATTGTACCAGGGATTCCACCCAGACATGGACTCGATCTGAACCCATCCAGCTTTCATCTTTTCGCCACCCAATCCACACGTTCCTCGGTCGCCCCCCGGACGGTCCCGTTCGGTTGCGCGGCCGGGGCGAGCGGCTCGAGCGACCTCGAGGTATTGGTTCTCCCCGCTGACCGTGGCCGCCTTCGTGGCCGAGATCACCGAAGGGGCCACCCCGCCCGCGCGCAGCGCTGCCGCGGCGCTGGTGTCGAGTCCGTCGGTCTACTTCAGCTTGCCGGAGGAGAGCAGAGCGGTGGGAGTGGAGGTGTGAGGCCTGCTATGGCACCATGGGTTTTGACTCAGTTTGGACTTCCATTCGGGTCTCTGAAAGAAGCAAAGCAACCCAAAGATTGTATCAATGATTCTGATCCTGGAGGAACTTTTGAGGACCAATTAGGCACATCAGCTTCACCCACCACGGTCATATTCGATGCAGGACACCCGGAAGAACTGCAAGGTCTTGGACTATGATCGTCAATGGGCTTCTGATCCAGGCAACGCAGCCTGGACCAATTCGAGACTTTTTTTGCTTTAAATCTTCATCACCAGTTCGGGTGTAGTTCGACAGGTGTTCTGCCGTCATTCCAGGCAGGCAGTTACTGTAAACAGAGCATTGAACCGGACCCCCCACGACGGCCTCACACACTACATACCTGACGGCCCGCAGCCCCCGGTCCCGGCTCACCGGAGGCTTTGTGTTCTACGACTTCAATGCACCTGAAGAGTTGCCCCAGGAGCTGAGCCGATTCGCGCCGATGCGCCGATTCGGTGATGCGGTCGAGTCGGATGGTCGACTCCTTGGTGGTCGCCACGTCCATTCGTATGAATGCTTTTGTGAATGAAACATATGGACGATGATATTTTGCTATTAAGAATTTTCAATTTATTCAAACATGTAAGATATACAATGGCCCTTTATTCATCAATAATTTATATAAATAATACATGGCCATTAAGACAAGAAATAAGATAAGAGAAAGATAAGTATCCATTAATGATAAACGATAAATAGACTATAGCATTTGACCAGGATTCATTTATTAAATCAAATAATCCTTCATTGAGATTATAAGAAAGAACATAAGAAATAAGATGAAATAAGAAATACATTGCCATTCATTTTAACAATATATTTTATAGAAAATGAATTGCAGTTAAAGATACAAACTAATATGAATGAATAAGAGACAATAAGTAATCCACATTTTTATTTATGAAGTGTAATAGAACTAATTAAAATGATGGGAACAAATTAAGAGATAGATGGACAAATGTGGGCTGAGACAATAAATCCCGTAAAATCAATTGATAGCGTTCTAGCCCACATTTGTCATTCATTCTTTGGAGTGCAAGGGATCAAGTCCTATTTACCAAGGACTCGACCCCACATCCTTTATGATTATAGCTTGAGCCGCGAAGTGATGAGGGGCAAACTTGCCAGAAGTGTTTGCCGAAAGATCTTGGTTCGATTTCCAGAAAATCCGCCCGTGGCGGTGCTCTGACTCGCTCGCTCGTTCGTTCGTGTGCCTCGCTTGTGCGGAGCGAGCGTCAAAACGCTCGCGAGCTGCGAGGAGCTTCGAGGTGCCTTCGACTTCATTTTGATCGATCCGCCCTTCATCACACGCGAGGTGGGATGGGTGCAAAACATGAGGATGTGTTTGATGGGAGAAGACCAGTCGGACTTTCTATTTTGGAGCTCCTCGCTAGATCCTAGATCGAGGAATACTGTCCTGTACTGTGGGGGGGAGAGTTTAGCAATTGATTTGCCTATGGCACAGGGTTGCGACGGTGCATGGTCATGAATGCTCCAAGTTCAGAGTCGGAGTGTGTCTCAGGGTTCTTCCTAGAACAGTTGAGCTGTGTTGAGTTTTAGTTGTTTTCAGACACATGCCCATGTTGTGAGACCTTTGTGCGAGAATCTGGAAAAACGTGAAGAAGCCTCACAACCTCTGGAGGATGAGGATCTCTTTACCTTGACCCTTTCTGAAAGCGTCTAATCTACTCTCCTGCCCAAAACTGGCATAAGAGAACCAGGCCTGGAAGACAGGTTCCCTCCACCAACCTGCATGCCATGGAGGGGCAACGAGGGGCATCTATTTGGTTTGCATGGGAGTGTCTTTTGTTCCATGACCTTGCCAAGGTTTGGGAAAAGTATGCAATCACAGCACGCTGCTTTGGCATGAGGAGGGCTGCGTGAATGCCACCCAAATAGGGATGGTGGGCAAATCTTCTCACTTTGAGACCCAGACCCAGATGACACATTCATTTGCTGATATCATGTGGGAACTAAGTGGCGATCACGACCCTGCACTCCCTCCTGACCCCCAGTTGAGGGCCCCTCAACAGTGCAACGAGCGGCTTGCGTGGAACGGAGTAAAACAAGTTGAATGCCTTTACTGCGGATCAACAAGCACATCAACCTCGCCGTTTCCGATATATATGATGCCTTTTTGGTTTCTTTCCAGGCTGGCATAAACTGGATCTTGAAGTCACATTCACTTTGGATTGATGTCATCCTCCTGCCATTTGCTACCTTAACCCTCCACCTGAATCACTTATCTTCCGCACGCCCTCACACGTCTTCCGCACACGCATTCCCTCCAATCTGAGGCTACTTGGCCTGTGATGGAGCTCGCTTTCTTTGTACAACGATTGCAGAGAACGCGAGCATGATGTCCGAACTACTTGGACTACATCCAGCTGCTTTGACTGCAGTCTTCGAGAACGATGCGATTCGGTGTTGGGATTTTCGGTGAAATCCAACCAAGGAGAAGTAGATCAAGAAAAGCTTCATACACACAGACGCACATCTCTCATCATCTCTCTCTCTCTATTTTAGAACTCCAAAGACTATTTTGGCACCACCGAAGCAAAGGAGATTCTTTTTCGGAACCATTTTGAAATGGTCGACCGGACTCCCGTATGTTGATGTCGTTTTCGGGGGGGTCGTTCTTTCGGTTCCTGTGGGTCCTTCGGTTCCTGTGCTCCATCGGAGGTCGTTTCGGAGGTCGTTTCTTCGGATTGGTTGGGTGGCCGGTGGTTTCACCGGTGGTGGCCGGGCCGCGCCTTCTGGGTGTTCAGGTGAAGTTTCGACCAGGAATCCCCAACCTGGTCTATCAGTGGCTTGGAGAGATGCGTGGAGAGAGCGCATGGGTGGGGATGGGAGGTTCTGGCACCAGACATGGGGGTATGGCACCTGTTGTATACAAAGCTTGTACGTCTCCCATGTAATTGCCTTATTGTGGTATGCTAAGGGGATGCTGGTAGTGCAGGGTGGATAGAACTACTCATACTCATGTATCCTGTCCTCCATACTTGACAACTGAAAGAGGGTTTATTCACTTGAAAGCTGAAGTCGGGCAGACAGTTCCCCAATAACAAGGTCAGCTCAAAGGGGAAGAGTCAGGAGAAACACCTTGAGAGAGGTTTCCTCAGTTGAATCCTTGCTTTGATGTTTCTTTCTCTTAGATCTCTTTGACATTTTCAGGTATGATTTGAAGACATAGATGCTCGGTGATCCAGATTGCGCACTCATTTCCATTTGATTTGTTCTGGCACTCCAACACCACCAGACCAGCACACACCTTGACCACGGATCATCACCATGGTGGCCAACACATTTCTGCAACACGCTTTCTGCAACTAAGTTTCTTCTTTTGGCCGCCTGGGCAGGTACAGCATCTACGTGAATTACCCCTCGCAGCGCCTCGAGGAGTTGAACCCTGAGATCGACGAAGAAGACTGGCAGGCCCGACGACCACGCGGTAAAAAACGCCGCAAAAACGGAACGCAGGGATGCTCGGTTCCACAAGGTGCAGACCTACCCAAGGGGATGTTGGGAGGGCGCAAAACAGATGATGGAACATTGAATGAACACATGTGAACGCCCACAAGCAGACACAAGCTCCCCTCCCAAAAAGGTCTAGTTCTGAACGAATTCCCTTGTGCTCAAGGGCGCGTGCCCGTGCGTGCGAAAGGCGGCGAAGCCGGTGGCCGTGGCCTTGTCTGAGCCGGAGCGTCCGCTGGGAACAGGTCAAGGCACACCGCTGGACACAGAGGAGCTGCTCCGCCGCGTCGCGCTGGGGGTGTCCAACGATCAGGAGGGTGGCAGGTGGATGGTGGCAGATCTTCACGGATCCGTGGTTCACATGACATCCACGTAGTAGAGGGTGACCAAACTCCTGCTTCTTCCGTTCTCTTCCTTCATGTTGCACTCTTTGCCTGGTCTTGGGTGGGGTGAGGAAGACCAGCCATAGGCCTTGTGAAGTTGCTACACCTGGCAGGGAGGACACCTCCATCCTCCGGGCCGCGCGGGGGGCGCGGGGCGCCTGGCCCGCAGGAAGTGGCTAGCTTTGTCGAGACGCCCGACATGCGGCTCCTGGCCGAGCTGCGGAGGCCGGGGTAGGGGGTGGAGGGGGTGGGCGTTCGGCTTCTTTGGGGTACAACCAATTGGTGGGGCCTTTGTAACCCGAATGACACTGAATGACTCAATGACCTTTTGGATCACCAAACTTACCCAAAGTATGGCAATTCCTATCACACCAGGGGTCATGTTTGGGTTTTGTTTGCGGTTGTAGGTCCGAGAGAGACGAAACACCATGTGGAGCTTCGTGTCAGTTGGGGCGGTGGATTCGTTCTCGATCTGTCTAAGTCTAAGACCAGACCTAGTATCGTGACTGGGCCAGGTGCTTTTGCGGTCGCCTTGACGTTCATGACTCAATGACTGGATTCGTTCTGCGACGGTTGCGGCAGTTCGCGCGTCGTTGACTGGTTGACCGTTTTTGAACACATGCTCCTTTGTTTCCCGACCAAGCCATGTTGGGACCGATCAGACCGATCAGACCGATCATCGACTGTGCCTCGCCCATGCCGCGCGAGCGCGCGATCAGGCAGCTCTTTCACACGAAGCGTGCCTTGGAGGTGGGACCGGTGATGCTCTGAGTCTTCGTCATGACTTGGTCGAGCTGGTCGAGCCCTGACCGGTGCCATGTGTGGCTCGAGATGAGCCTGATGGGCACGGTGAAAATGATCTCTTGGATTCTCTTTGGTACCTGGGTAACCTGGGTACCAAGAGATCCTCGTGGGTACCAAGTTTCAGCAAGATATAGGTGTTAGAGCGAATGTGGAGGAATCCGATCTCACGTCTTACAGACCTCAAAAGACGCAAAGCGGACTCTTCGTTCGACTCATTTGGGACTCTTCAAACCCCGTCTTGTTGGTTCAGAAACACATGCCGCCCTCGGGTCGACCAAAGCCAGGCGATCCAGGCGCCCCTGCAGATGGCGCTGCGCCGCAGCTCCAACGGATCGGCTGGCTCTGGTGGAGGTCAAGCCGCCGGCTCGGCGGCAGCCAAGGCCGGGGAGTTGGGGACTGACTGGTAGGTGGTGGGGAGAAGTGGCTGACTGTAGTACATGGCATAGGGAAAACAGACCTGAACTTTGCCCCTGCGATCTCATGCAGCTACAGCTTTGAACCAACATACTTCAGAGGCTAAGGAAGTTGGAGGTGGAAGTTGAAAAAACCTGCCAGGATGAAGTAGCAGGACCGCAAAAACATGCCAAACATGGTGGAGGTAGCCATTTGCGAAGCACCTACCACTCTTTTTGATCATGCATAGATGGCATAGCTGCACAATGATGCCAACTAAGATGAACTGTATGTGCTTTGCCATGCTTTGCCATGCTAAAGTTCCCTACCCAGTAGCTCTTGGGCGCATTTTCTTGGCTTCCTTTTCTCGCCCCGTCCTCCGTCCGAGCGGGGTGTTTGTGTGGGGCGCCAGGTGAAAGAGGTCCACCTGGCAGCCAAGGAGGCGCTCGGCTCGTTGGATGCCTGGCTCAGCGAACATCAAGCAGAGGCAGAGATAGGGCGACTTAAGTCGACTACATAAGTCGACTTACTTGGGCGAATCGCCCTGGGCGAAGTCAGTGCAATGTTTGTGTTGGAGTGCTTGATCAATCGAAGAGTTGAGGATGAAATTAGAAATCAAAAGGTGTTTTTCTTTTCTTTTGCTGGCCGAGGGCTGAGGTGAGGATTGCTGGGTTATACAAGGGTTCTGATTGAAGACGTTGTCGAAGAGGATGGTTGTTCATGACTCGAAAGTTGATTAGCAATGAGAGTAGGTGTGGTGTTCTGCTTGGCGAGACTTCATTCCGCGGGTTATATACTAGGCTGTAGATGAGGATGTTCCTTTGATGACTGGCTAGTGGTCTTCCATCTCTTTGAAGGTGGCGAATGCCATGGACAACACCAGCGGAACGTCGCCCTCTGCTGCGCGTGAGCACTGGCATTTGTCGGGATGCCCCAGGAAAGAAATGCATTGGGCCATAAAATGCACGTCGGTTGCCAGTGGCGCTGTTTCTTTATTGACACCTTCACCCACTTTTCCGATCGTTGGCAATCCTGGCTGAGCTTGGAACCTCACAACTCATGGTGCTGCTGCGACGAGCGTTCATCAGGGGTGATTGGAAGCTCAAGCGGGAACGTTTCATGATGGTGTGAAGTCAAACCTTACTTTGATACCAGCCAAACCGTGGCAAGTGAACACCCCTGGCATGTGATTTTGTCTTTCCATGAGGAATCTATAGCCAAAGACGGAACTCCGTCCCATGTCCTGACAAGATCGATTAAACAATCAACGTGGTAAGTAAACACAACAAACACATACAAACATAACTTTCTCTCATGATCGTCATGATCCTTCAAGAAAGCTGGACAGCGAGACAATCACCAAACCTGAAAGCCAACCAACCAGAGGCAACTCATGAGTCCCATATTCCTGACCATCCATTCAAGCAATATGATTACAGTATATATATATATATATACTCACCAGTCGGGAGAACGCTTCATGAACTGATGACCACCCTCAAAAGAGTGAACAGTTCTCACTGTTCATCAAGTGGAATATCGACCGGAACACTTTATGAAGGAAATTCTTCTTGTCAGGCCAGAACTCGAGTCCCTCCTAGAGACCTTCGAGCTGAGCCCCGACTGGTCTGCGCGCTGCCGCGCTAGCGCGGCCAAGCTGTTCCAGCGCAGCAACCAGGCGCTGCGACGCCCGCGACTGGTAGCCGTGTTCGTTGGTTTGAGTGACTGGGGACTTCAGTCAGGCGAAAAAGACCATCCATGCTTCCGAAATAGCTGCTTTCATTCGAGGGCATTGGGTTTCACCAGCCCTATTGATACGTGTTTTCACGATCGATCCGAGTCAATCCTGGTGCGATGAACCGTGTACACCGACCTGTAGACCTGCAGAGACCTGGTAGATTCGTGACCTGGTAGAGGGGTGAAGGGTTGGCGTTGGCTCGTGAACTTCGAGAAGCAGCTTTTACTTATATATGTACGAGGGACCTCCATGTATAATGTAACGTACTCTTGTTTCGGTTGGTGTCTAGATGTGTCTAGTGTAGTGGGTCCTTTTGTTCAACAGCAGTGAGTTCCAAACATCGTCTTGTTCAGCAACCAACCATGGACCGTGGACCTCTCTGGATGCGCTGATGCTAAAGCCGGGCGTCTGACCAGTCTCTCACCCGAGTAGCAGGTCAGAGACAATCTGGGATTGAGATCCGAGCTCCTGCAATTTGAATTGCATTAAATTGCTGTTTCGTTCACAACCCCCTTGGAAATTAGATGGCGCTGAGAGAATCCATCTGAAAGCCCCATGTCCAAGCCATCATGTGACTGATCAACAACCAATTCCATGTCATGTGATTGATCAACAACGAAGTCTTCCAGTCGAACATCCATGCTCTATGGATTTTTCGGCTTGATCGATGGGCGTCTGATGGGGCTCGCTGGCAGGTGATGGATCGGACGAAAGTGCTGAGAGCGAGCCAGCAGAAAAGGTTCTGGAGAGTCCTTTTTGGAGGCCTTTTTTTGGGGGGGTTAACTTCAAACTTGAAACTTTTTCCCAACAGAACATTTTCCGACTAGAGAGGTCAGAGGCCCTGCAGTGGAAACCTGAAAAACACGCATTTGCAAAACGTTTTCGCCGGATTCTCGGCTCGAGCCTTTTTGATTCATGTCAGCACCAACACAGACTAAGCATGTGCTGCATGGAATCCGTTCGTTTTCGCCACACAAGTCGTGCGTTTGATCTCGGATGGGATGCACCTGAGCACCTGATCCTCTACCCTTGAAGCTATCTGATCTAGAGGCTGGGTGGAGGAATTGACTTGACTAGGCTTTTAGCACCAAAAGCCAAAACCCTCCTCGGTGACTGTGCATGATTAAGATCTTCTTGGCTGCCACCCAGTCCCGAAAGCCCCAGGGCGGGTGGTGTCTTGCAGCGAAGCCTCTGAACAAGATTTCTGGTAAGAGGCATAGTCAGGCCGGGCAGGTTTTTTCGTCCAGGTAGAGGTCCCACCGTCCCTGTTTCTGAGACACACACACTCAGCGCCGAAGAATTGCCCTGGCGTCAGGCCAGTGTTGGTACTCAAAGGAAGGCAGGCTTTGCTCGGGGCACGTGGCACTTTTTGTGACATGTAGATGGCAATGAAGTTTTCACTCCCAACCGGCGAAGCCAACCATTTTTCGATTCAAAGACACGAGACATGTCGTTTTACTCTTTTCATGGTTTGAAGACACTCCATCGTCGAGATGTTCCCTCAGTGCTGCCTCTGGGAGTGCACATTCGCAGCTATCTAAGCATCCCAACTGATTAGATCCTTTCCGTGTGAAGATTGCGGGGTCGGCTACCCCAGCAATTATGGATGATGATGACGAGGAGGAGTTCCCAAACCTCCCTCCACTCAACCGTTTGATGAGAGGCCAAGGGAAGCCACCCTTTTGGTTTCATTTGGACAGTCAAGACCTACCAGCTTCCGCAAAGCTTTGCAACAAAGTCTTCAAGTTGAGCGCACAGGCAGAGGTCCTGAGGATTCGTCCAGACAATCACAAGGACAAAAAAGAAAGATCGAACTGTGACTATGCTCACAAGTGGAAGCAGCTCAGGCACTCTATCTATCATCGCAACGGAAAGCTTCCCCATGATGCCCCTGAGTACCTCAAGGTCTTTCAGGCGGTTGATTGGGGATCTGGCCATGGCGAATCTCCACGCTTTGAAATTCCGTTTGAAGAGACATACCCAACTAAGGCCACCAAGGCAGTTCACATGATGGTGTGTGAACCCGAAAAGTTTGAAAAAGTGACTAGTCAATTCATCAAGCAAGGGAAGCTGTCCCAGAAGGATCTTCCAAACGAAAGCTGGGGAGCTGTGAGTGCCAACTTGTGCTACCACTTCAGCTTGAAAGATGAGAAGTGCCCTCACTGGCAAAATTGCCTTTTCTTGCACGTCTCTGCCAGCAGATTGCGAGAGCAGTTCAAGCTCTACAGATGCATGTGCGGTCCAAACGACGGCATTTGCAAATACGGGAAGGCTTGTATGTATGCGCACAAGCAGAAGGAGCTGACTGTACCACCGGAGTTCGAAGATCCTGCTTATCCGGACAGCACCAACAGCCGCACATTGTCTTGCACCAATCGTGAAACCGGACTTGAAGTCTCCTTTGCGATCGAAGAAAGGTACATTGCCAATACCTCCCGGAAGTCTGACAGCCGTATGTGTACACAGACGCACGACTGGTGCAACAAGAAGGATTGCCCTCATGGCGTTCACATCACCTCGGAGGGTTGGGCTTGGCTGCTTGCGAAAGGCTGCAAAGGTGCTCCCCAGAGCCCACCAGCATACTTCCAAGAGAAGGTGTCAAAGCTCTTGCGAACTCGTCATAAGATAGTGAAAAAAGCATCGCTTGAAACCGCACCAAACGCTTGGGGTCAAAGCCAGGTGCCCGCTTCCACCCTAGGTGCCCAAGATCTACAGGCTCCACAGGCTCCACAGGCTCCACCAGATCCACCAGATCCGCAGGGTCAGGTGCCTCCAGAGCCCTTGTTGGCCATTTCGAGACGCTGGAAGCGACAAGCACGGCCAACTCATGCAACGGCAGCGGAAAAACCCACTCCGCCCTACGCGGATGCCATCTTTGCGTACGAGGCAGGGTGGCTTTGGTGGGGCGGGCGACCCGAAAACCAGAAAGTCGGTGCCAGTCCAGCTGCTGATTGGCAAAGCCGCTTCCAGTTTGCCATACTCATTCTACAATGCAACAGACTTGTTTCTGTTCGTGTGGTCCACACGCACCATGAAGTGTCAAAAATAAAGCATACGGCTGCAAGGCTGGCTCCTTCTCCGAATTACCAAACAGGTGGTGTTGTATGCACGTAACCATGATTCTTTCAGGATGTGTCTCAGCCGTTTTTGGGACGTCTTTTGACCAGAGAAGCAGATACATGACATGGTTGTGCCGACATGGAAGGTTGACATGGTTTCAGCACCAGACTGTTGCATCAGTACTGCCCCAACCTGTCCTGGGCGGGACCCTCCCCTCCCTCTCCAGCGGAGGCGGACGGTCTGGGGCCCGTCGCATCGGTCCGCAGGCCGTGCCGAACGAACGCATGCAGGAGTTGGATCCGGGCCTCGATCAGGTTGAGGCCAGGTGTTTTCGTGTTCGAGAAGAGATGTATGGGAAGGGCCTCCAAGCTAATAGCAATGGCCTCCAAGCTAATTGGAATGGCCTCAAACCTACTAGCGATAGCCTCCAACCCAACAAGAGTGTCAAGCGGACTTGCATCACTCAATATAGTAACATCGATATCAGGTTGCATCGAGCTTCCTTATGATGCTGGTAGAAAGAAAGCAGATGCAACCCGTGAGAAGGGCGCGCTTTGCCGTGCGCCGGATGGACCGCGCAGGTCGCCTCGGAAGGTCCACCACCGACTACTCCTCACGACGATGAGGAGGATCGGGGGGTCTTCAGAGCAGAACACTCCCTGGAACCGTTTTGTGGAGTCAACACACCTGGTTTGGTATTCGGAAACAGATCGGAGAATGGTCTTCGGGGCCAATTTCGGGCCATGCCATCTACGTCACCATGATTTGTGAAAAGGGGTGTAATTACAATTTTGTTTTTTGCTGAATGGATGTGGAACATGCCTGTCGACTCCGCTGTAGAGACTCTGTCGCTTCCACCAGAAGTGGTGCAGAACCCAACTCTCTCTTCGGGCTTCCAACCTGACCCGTCCCGATTTGGGGCCATCTCCACCCCCGCAGATGGCCACCCAGACGCCAACCACTGGATGGTCAAAAAGGGACCCTACGGCGGGGTCCATCTCGAGAGCTTTTGATGGCACCGAACGGATGACCATGAAATTCGAAGACCAAACAGGTGGTGTTGTATGCGCGTAACCATGATTCTTTCAAGGAGCGTCTCAGCCTTTTGGGAGGTCTTTTGATCAGAGAATCAGATTTTGTTGTGCCAGATGGAGGGTCGACAGGAAGGTTCTAGATTTGGGCAGAATGGGACAATCTTTGGGATCTTATTCTTGGTAGTCAGACTGGTCGGGCCCATGCCGAGAACCTGGGTTAATTGTGCCTGTGGAACCATGCTGAGAGTCAGTTCGGCAAGCTCCCTTCCTGACATTTTTTTTTGTGGAAACTGGTGCCAAAGCCAATCTTAGCAGTTCCTGCCATCATTGACTTTCAATGGGAGAAGCAGGCAGTGGCTGTTGGGGTTGGTCTTCCCAGTTGGAATCTAATACCTTATGTGGTGATGTGCCCGATTGTCACAGGAAAGTCAGGTGATTTTCTTCGTGTTTTTGTTGGACATTTCGCTTGGCAGGACCTGTCTCTGACGTATTTGGACTTGCTCGAGATCCCTCCGTCCCGCCTCTGGCAGGCCGCTTCGTCCGTCTCGCGGTTCGGCGCCGATACGGCGCTGACCGAACCGCCGGCGGTTCCGACCGGGGGTGGAGGGTTCCGAAGATAGACCCGTCCACTTGGATCTCCTTATACACATACACACCCATAGAAACTATATATGTCCATGGCAGAATACGTTCATTTGGCGATCATCGTTTACGACATTCTCAAAGACTCATAAGACATTGATGCCCTCGATGCCCTTGCCAGGCACAAAGGAAGAGCAAGAAGGACATTGACTTGGACGACAGAGTGAAGGACGCTTTGGTGGAGGCTTGGAATGATGGCCAATCGCGCCGCTTCAAGGATGACTACCGGCAATGGCTGGCAAGTGGGTCCATGAATAGCTCTTTCCTAAGAGATGGACACGTCTACTTCCACCATACCCTAAAGATTGGGGAAGGAGCAGCAGCCGAAGTCTTTCTGGGCATTGTGCCGTCTGATGGTCGTGAGGTGGCTGTAAAGGTGTTCCGAGAACAGGAGTTTGGAGAAAAACACTTCAATGTCGAGCGTTCAAGTATGAAAGAGCATTCAGCAATGCCAGGCATTGTGCAGTACATTAGCTCCTTTCAGCAAGAGATGGTTGACAACATGGGCCGGCCAATGTTCAAGAAAGTGGTTGTTCTGGAGCTGATGGAAGGTTCCCTGGCTGATGCGATGGCAAGATGGAGGGAGAAGGAATGGGTTGGCAAAGCAGCCCACTTGCAAGTCATTCGGTATGTAGGTGCCAGCATGCTCTACACATTGTCAAGGCTGAACTACGGAGCAATCAAGGACTTGGTTCACCGTGACGTGAAGCCTGACAATATCATGATTGACCATTTGGGTGCCATTAGGCTCGGGGACTTTGGTATCTCAAAGATTCTAGAGAAGACCAGGGATGCAGCAACACTCTCCTCTGGGGGACCAGAGGCGTTTGCTTCCCCTGAAGCCTTACAGGAAGGTAGCAGCGTCAGCAAAGCGCACCGGACGAGCGATCTCTATTCACTGGGCATGGTCCTCTTCTGCATGATGTCTGCTCAGCCTGGTGGCAAAGGTCTTCCTCGAGATTTTCAGAGCCAGATGAGTTTCTTGAAGAATCAAGTTCCTGAGCAATGGCCAAGCTATCACTCCTTCGCTTTTCAGCATTTGATGAAGGCACTGCTGGAACGTGAGCCGAGCAAGCGGGCCTTCAACAAGGGCCTCCCGAAAGGGATGACACCCCATCGCGTGGTCTTGACTCATCCATTTTTCTGGTCTGCCCGCAATGGCTTGCGCTTCTTGGTGACCTTGGGCAACTATCCCCTCAGCAGTGAGCAGAACTCGGCACTTCTGGGAGCCGATTTGACCTCCTTCCGCACTTTGAAGCAAGCTCTGAAAGAGTCCATTGGTGGGGACTCATGGTTTGTGAAGGTCGCAGACTTAGAACAGGTTGACCCGCATGCCACGGATGACCGTCTCAAGAAGAGTCCCTTCGGCCTGCTCAAATTCATTCGGAACAAATGTATTCATTTGAACGATTCGAGCATGAACCCAGAAATCAGACGGAAATTGCAACAAAGGCCTGTCTTTCAAGAGCGATTTCCAGAACTGGTGGTCCGCTGCTGGGAGGCATTGCTTTTGGATTCCATCGATAACATCCTTATGTTCATGCAGCATGCACAACTGCGTGAATTCTTCGAGCGCCCAATCGAGCTGGAAAGCTTCCGTGGGGAGCCGAATGACTGGATGTGAGGGTGAGCCCGCACATCCACACAAAGACCTTGGATATAGCGAAGCATAGCACAAAATGGTGCGCTTGCCGTATGTGATTCTAGATGTGTTGAAAAAACATCCATTCGAGAATGAGTCAAACCCCTTGTATCCCACTTCCATTGGCAATGAAACCAGGACGCACCTTAGAGCTGCTTTTCGTTCAAGTCTTTTGTTCAGGTCTTTAAGATGCTTAAAGTCACTTCTGCTGTTTCCTGTCATTTACAGACGCCCGCGCAAGACAACTTCGGGTAATTTTGGCCAAAGACGCTCCACAAGTACAAACGACAAGGCGCCTTTCTTGCAAGAAATGTGGCACCGCGCACGAGCGTGGACTTACACGAGTTTGCAAGCAAAGCATCTCAAGGTGGTCCCTCAACCCTTCAGGGCAACACGAACTTACCCTTCCGACGTCTGAAGACTAAAGACTAGCAGCCTAGCCAGAATCGGGAGACCACCCCCCCCCCCAAACACCCGGCGTCCATCGGTCGGAAGACGACGTCCCATTCCAAATGGTTGGAGTCCGGTCGAATTCAGACTTTGGAAGGCGATGATGCCGCGGCAGAGGATCTAGGTTTGATCTCCGCGGAATCTCCGCGTCGCCCTGGTGCGGGGGTCGGGCGGGTCCAGTGCGGGGGTCGAAATCGCGTGGGTCCTTCCACCAAGCTGAAGGGTCTTGGAAATCCCAGCTGCTTGAGTAGGGGTCGTATCAGTCGACTCCCTTGTTTGGTTGTGGATTTCCGCGATGGACTTCCTACTTTGCAGCATCGTTTCTTGGGCTGTTCAGCTGAATTGGAATGCTGGCCTGTGATGACGGAGAATTTCGGCTCAGACCAAACATGCAGCAACTTGGAACTGGCCCTCAAGGCCCTAGCTTGCCTAGCCTAGCAAGCTGGTACCTCACTCAACCTCACTCAGAGTTTTCCTGACACAGATAGACAAGAGATGAGTTGCACACATTGCATTTACAATCTATCTACTCACTGCTTGTACTTTTTAATTCATCTCCACGAATGTGAGAGTTCTTCACTGGAGACAGCAAGCCCTCACCGACGACATGGGCTAAGCAGTAACGCCATGGCAAAAGGTGCCGCTCACCCGAACGGCTGCGAGCTCGGGTTTTGTGTGGTTCGCCGAGCATTTGCAACATTCCCGTGGAGGAGAGGTGTAGCACAGGATACAGTGATAGCTCAAAGATTGATGGGATAGGTGGAGATAGCTCAAATGTACGAGATGTTGTTCCAGTTTTTGGAGGCCTCCTCGAAGACTATAGATCATTGCACCATTTTTGATGTGTTCGCTAGTCACTTGCCACCAACTGAAGCCGCCGTGAGACAATCTAAGATAAACGGCTTGAGAGGTGTCAGAATGTCGAAGGTTTGGTCATTTTCATCGAGGGCGGGGGATGTTTGTAAAAATCCGAAGTTCCTCCAATGCTTTGTATCTTCACCCAGTCCTCAGCACTCTCCAATTGCAGAACATTTGCAGAACATGTTCCTCCATCTTCAGCGGTGAGCGGCCAAGTCCCACAAAAACTGGGAAATATCCTTCAGGTGGACCATATTTTCATATATTGTCACTGTTTCACATCAGAATCAGCTGGAAAGCCAAGTCGGCAGCAGTATCTCTACGAGTAGATAGATAGATAGATAGATAGATAGATAGATAGAAGGGTTTCTTGACTTCTCTGGGTTTTTGGCGATTCGGATTGAACGTCAAGGGTTTTCACTTTAAACTCGTGTCGTGCTTGGCTGCGGGTTGGAATCCTTGGCGTCGACCATCAAACAAAGTAAAAAACAGATACAACAAGTGTGAAACCGTCCTGTGAAATCCCGGTCGCACCAAGGCAGCAACTTTCGACGGGTCGCCAGGCTTGATGTGGGGCATCCCAGGTCGCCAGGTCATCTTGAATGGCTGGCAGCGGAGCGGCCAACGCGGGTGCGCCGGTGCTTCGTCTTTGATGGGTTCACCCGGAGCGTGCCCCAAAGCCTTTTCTGTCACCCACCGGTCACTAGCTCAGCTCTCGGTGACCACGTGTAAAGCACGTCAAAGCATGAACCAGGACCCTGATCCAGGACTTCCGTTTAGGTGGATCTCTCCAAAGACCCAAGTGTTCGCACGGACTTGCCGGAAAGCACCTGGTGCCATCCACGTCCTTCGCTTCCGCCACGCCACGCGCCGTTCGCTGCTGCGCTCCGCATCGCGTGCGGTGCGAGGTGGTGGCGCGCGTGCGGCGCCTCAGCCAGCTGGGACTCCTGAAGGCGGCGCGACCGGGGCGAAGCGACCGAACCGACGTCCGGAACGGTGACCGGAGGTCTTCCATAGGGGGTTCCGGCACAGGGACGGTGACCAGTAGATCGAACTGGCGGAAAGCTGATCGTGACCAAGCTGGGACTGAACATACGACGTTTGGATACATGTGGCAGTCCCAAGAGAGTGGGACTTGCTTTGGAGTCACCCAGTTTCAACAGATGTCAAAAGATCTTTGTAGAGGGTGTCCGTGCTTTACACACATCACTGAGCCCGCCCTAGGCATACATCACTGATCATCACTGTAGACATACTCTCCCTGGAACTCACATGGAAGTGGAGTTGACCACCTGTTTGTCGTGGATTTTCATGGTCGAACTCGGGGCCATGCGGCCATGCCATCCATGTAACCATGTGGTCTTCCAGGGAGTGTACATCAATCAGAGAGCCTTTTCTTTTCAGTTTCCTCATCCTGGAACTCACGGTCGAGCTGTTGGAAGCTGTTTTCTTGCAGGAGCGGCCCAAGTGGCTCACGTGGCACGGCGGCCCTGGGAATGAGACGGCCCCGAGACGAGCCGGAGACGACGCGGAGAGGACCCGAGACTTCTCCCATACACGACTAATGGGACTGCCATATATGCCGCCCCATTGACTCCCCTGGCACCACCCCTGGCCGTTTCTCGGCAGTCCGGACTGGCAGTCCCAGACGGGTCGCGTCGGAAGGGTCGGAAGAGGTCAGAATAGAGAGAGGCGTAACCCGAAAACAACTTCGACTTCTGAGAGGAGTTTTCATGAGTTGTTTCATGAATCTGAAAAAGGTGGAAGGAGCTTTCCCTAGGCCCCGCTAGCTGCTATGATGGGAGGGTTGGTAGGTGGATGTAGGAGTGCCAATAATCAACTCGTAGGTGTTCGATGATGTTCAATGGTCCATTTTATTCCCTCAAAGTTGCCAAGTTCCATGCATTCAGGAGTCCACTCGAAATCCAACTGCACAGCCTGGGAACTGTAAGGTGTGAACGAGTACCACCATTGGAGAACCACAACTTGCAACTGCAGGCGACCGAGAGAAGACGAATGGACAGTTCAAGGTACATGACGGACAAGCAGCATTTCTGATACAATGTGAAAATGTAGATATGATTCTGATATGATATGTATTTGTTATCGGTTTAGAGACCAAAGCAATCGCTTACTCAAAAGTCCAAGCTCATGTTATTTTTGGCAAGCTGCAGAGTTTGAGCATCCCTCAGATGAGTTCAGTGTTGGTGTTGGCAAATCGCGTTGCTTCTTGTCCTTGGAGATCCTGAAGAAAACTGGGAGCCAAGTGCAGCTGCGATTTTCCCGCGTGCCAGACACGAACCGTCCGAAATCCATACCCTCAGATGGCAGAGCGCTCAGATGTTCTTCAAGGGCTTGTCTCAAGGCCTTAAAGCCTCAATAATAAGGACCTGCAGATGTTCGGATCTTCAAGATATCTCGTTTCGCTCAGCGATTTCGCAGCCGATTCACGGAACACCAAACAGCTCAGCTCAGGTGAATCACCTGCTCAAGAAATACCCAGATCTTCGCTTCCAGGAGCACTTCCCCCAAAACGTTTCCCTCGCCCACGACGTCCACGACCCGGGATCGACGACGGGAGCTCCAGGATTGCTACGTGGATGGCAATGACTGGTCCGTGGGCAATGACTCCTATCGGGATGATCATCCTGTGATGCAGGTGCAGGGGAGCACGTGGGGGAGGTTGGGGCACTGGGAGCTTCCTGCGCACTCAACGAAGCTTTGGACCATGTTTTCACCACCATACCCTGAGTGCACGCATGTTTTTTGGCTATGTTGGCCGTCCAGGGAAGGACATGGACTGCTTGGAATCATGTGTCTTTTTCACGGCTTGAGAAGATCAGGGCGCAATCTGCGCCACAATGGTGAGCCAGGAAGTGTGCGAAGTCCGTTGCAGTATGTTGCAATCAAATCCCACCAGCATTAAACGACCGCGCCTGTCACAAAGTTGTTGTTTCTTTTTGTTTTTTCTGATGTCGTCCTTCACCTAGTGACAGTTCCGGAGGTTGGGCAGTTCCACAAACAGATCCAGTCCTCATTGCCCAACATGTTCGGGGGGTTGAGGGTTGGCGGTTGTAGTGGTTTTTCAAAGCGGTTGGCGAAAACACAGAGCGCCAGCAGCCGAACACGAGCACGCTGGGATTCGTACGGCAGCAGGAACATGTCTTGGAGGACGTCCTTCTTGTGGCAGCTAAGATAGAGAAAGCCTGTTCAGCTAGCCACAGCAGTGCGCGCGAGAAACATGCCCGGCCCCAGCGGGGCTTCGTGCCAGTTTGTTGCTCAGCAGCTGAAATTCATGAGAGTCGACGAGAAGAAGGCGCGGATAGGCGAGGGCGGTGAGGTAGTGCAGGTATGATGCGACTCCGCTAGGCGAAGGTTCAACAAAGTGCCCCCTTGTCTAGGGATTCTGCCAGCGATCCTGGCTGCAAGGGAGGTAAGTGTCCTCACACTAAGGCGTTAAGTTCAGTCACTGTTGTGGATGCCAACAAAGGTCCTCACATGCTCCATCAGGGTTCGTGTTTTGCTGGTTTGTTGCTTTTTGTTACTTGTTTTTTGTCTGAGGTCTTATGTTTTGTTGGGTGTTTAGTTTTGCTTCTTTCAGGCATATGACCGCTTATTTCTTCATTTGCCACATTGTCTTCAGAGGCAGGTAATTAAAAGGAAGTAGGTTTGGAAGGGCATCCAGAAGGCTATTTGCAGTATCATCAACCGTCATTGCAATCCTTTTCTTCCTTTGACTGCAACTGTTGGTATGTCATAGCTTAGAAGTTAGAGAGGCAGCTCTTCTGGAGCAGCAGCAGGTTTCAAGAACTGCTTCCAGCAAGGCCATCGTGCAAATGGACTAGAGGCCTAGTAACCAACGATTACTCAACTTGACCCGTTGCAATAACACTTGCCCACAACTTTGTACAGCCTCTCAAGAGGGGGTTTCTATACAGGTTCGGTTTGTAGTAACTAGACACGCTTGGACCATCACTACGCCCTCCCCGGTTGGCTTGCCGAAAGAGATCAAGCGAGGTCGAGATCTCCTACGGCTTCGCCTGGCAAAGCTTCCTGGACGCCGCGATGTACGGAAAGGATCCGGCTTGCTATGTGGTCAAGACGAGCCGTGGTGAGCGGATTGAGTGGAAACGTCACGGGGATGGCGAACTGGAGACGATGCCGAAGGAGGAGGACTTCCCACTCATCCTGGAGGCCTGGGGGAAGGACATTTGCGAGCATGTGGTGAACAAAAATGCATCGACAGCCGAACGTTTTGGGGTCAGTCAATACAAGGTCTAGGGTGGCCTGGGACACCCCCAATGGCATTGTTGTTCAGCCTTTTCTTGCTGATCTGGGGACTTTTCATAAACATTCCGGAGCCTGGACCCGCCTCAGAGCAATACCCAATGACCTCCGTGCCCGAGGCAGTGGATTTTTGAGCAGTGTGACACTGGGAACCTCAAGAGAACGCGTGTCCAATCACCATCCCATTGATGCCTTCATGCCTTCATGCCTTCGGCGAGTAGGAGGATGAAACGCGTGCATCGAGCGGTCGGGAGCAGCAGCTGAACTTCATGAGACCCGAAAGGGTGTTAAGCAAGAAGGAGGCGAGGAGGGCGAGGAGGTCGAAGTTTCTCCAGGGGTAGTTGAGTCAGGGAATGCCATACAAGAACTCTGCAAACGTCCGTTGCCCAGCTTGAAACAACGTTTCCTGCAGCCTGCAGCTTGCCTGGACCTTGCCCAAATTGCTCTTACTTCAATAGGGTCTTTGCTTTTTTGCTGGTCCTACCTCTTGGTCATCTTATCACAAGGGTCCCACGTGGCACACCCCTTTTTATGCCTGTTAGAGAGCGGGCCATGTAAACCATCCTTTTGAGAGTGCCATCTATATATATATATATATAGCTAATCCAACCAAAATGCCTATGATATACGGACCGCAGTCCAGCGAGCGCAGGGTCCCAGAACCCCAGAGCGCAGGGGCCTCACCTGGCCGTCGCTCCAACGCACCGCAGCGCCCTTGTAGCGATGCCAGGAGCCCCTAGTAGCGATGCCAGGAGCTACTAGCAGCATTCTTGTTCCTCTTGTTCCTGGGTTAGACCTTTTGTTTTTTCCTTGGGACGTCCTTTCAATTCCGCTCCGAATCCTGTGCTGCGCACGCGCTCGCGCACGCGCTCGCGTGCACGCGCGCGCGCGTGCGACCTGCGGGCAAGGCCTTCGAAAAAACGGAGAAGTTCTTCGGGGCGAGGCTGGGCGAAGGTTTGCCAACCTCATGTGGCCACCTGGTCTGGTGTGATTTCCAAAAGGGATGAGATATTTTCTACTGTTGAAGTGCTGTTGTGTGTAGTTGGACCTCGTCGTTTCCACGAATTCCAGAGCCTCTTCAGGCACTGGAGGGATGGTCTTCACCAAAAAAAGGAGTATGGTTGACTGGGGATGGAGGCATTGAGGCACAGATCTAGGTGGAGATGAATCTTGGCTAGATCTGTTTCAATTCATGCCCACCCAGGTGGATTCCAGATGAAGATTCATCTCCACCTAGCTTGAACTCAACGACTTGTTCTGCTTCGGTAAAATAACAACTGTTGATGGTTTTGATAACATCTCAATCTTCACCCAAAGATCCAGCAAGAACTGCTTCACTTCACTTTGTGAGCTTCGAATACCAGTCCCCAGTCCCCCCTGATCGCTTCGCTCCATCAGGCGGGCGAGGCTGGAGGCAGAGCAGAAGTTGTTAATGGCTCAGATGTTGAATGCGGTCAGAGACTCAGCAACCAGCGCAGAAAGCCATGCGTGATTTTTGCCCCACAGATCAAGTGATGAACGGTGCCTAGAGTCACTGCAAGAGCACTCCTCCATTGGAGCCCAGCAAAAGCAGCATCAGTTTGTCGTCCTGCCTGATGATGATGATGATGACGACGATGACGATGACGACGACGATGATGATCATCATCACCATCACCATCACCATCACCATCAGCATCAGCATCAGCATCAGCATCAGCATCATCAGCATCATCATCATGAGTGACGAATTCTCTTCCTTTTCACCGTTCCCGCACGTCAATTCAGCTCCTCTTCAGGGCTTCCAGCCCATGTTCACCACTGGCCGTGCGTACCTCGAGGCGATCCATGGATTTGGACGGGTGGGACTTTCCCAGGTGGGCAGGACATGTTCTTTCTTTCTCTGCTTGAGGGTATGTTCAAGTTCGGTATCTCAATCACCTATACCCAATGGTGTGGAGCCTGACACATAGATGCCTCTATATAAAGAATTCTGTGCGATGAAGCGATCGTTGCTAGCGGATTGATCCCGTTTTGAGGTTTTGGTTTAAAGTACCAGTAAATATTACATTATAGACATTTCATGCTACATTCTTCTCCAAGAGATTTTCTTGGAAGGTGCATTCATGCCACCCTGGAGCAGTCGTACTCCCCATAAAAGATGTGCTCATACACTCATACCATGAAAGCGGGACCTCTGTGGTACGTCCAGAAAACCTCTCAGAGGTTCGTTCTGACCGGTGTGCCTTATGCCTTGGCATTCCGGTGGCACGGGTTCTGGTATATCCTTTCTAACCGACCAAGGGAAGTTTGACCAGGGTACCCAACTGGGATAGTCGAACAGTCGGCTTCTTCAACCTCTGTTGGTAATCCCTGAAAGCACACTTCCTGTGGTACGACCGTAACAGTCTGGCAGCCGCATTCACAGGTGGAGAAAGCTCGTCTGGAGAGTCAACACTTGGAGAGGATCATAGGCGGGTTTTTTCTTGCCTATCTTCACCGGTAATGGTATCAGGATGCATCAGGAAAACGCTCAAAGCGGCAGCGATTCGGCCAACGAAGTTCCGCAACGGGAAGTTGTTCCGAAGGATTTGGACCGACGCTGGAACGGCATGAGCCAGTTGCTACTGGTGCTTGGGGGTCCAGTGGATATGCGAGCTTTAGTTCTTGGCACGTGCGAAAAAGTAACAAATCAAATACCAAAGATCAATTGCCGATTGTGATGGATATGTGATAATTACTGTATTCGTTGTTGTCTTTTTTTTGCAGGAACACAGACAGATCACTCACTGATATGTACATGTCAATATGTGGATCATCTGAGATCTGTCTCTGGTCTTCTCGACTGACCGAGACCGAGTGCCAGGCGCCTTGCGCCAGGAACGGCGGGCCGCGGAGAAGGCCGCCGGCGAGCCGGCCGCCAGCTCGCCGCGGGCCGCGTTGCCCAAGCCTTCGTTTTTGGACCTGCAGCAGTTCAAGGCGGGGTGGGTTGGGTATGGTGATGATTTGTGGAATCCACTGTCATGCTGGTGGGACAGGTGTGAAGTGGATTGATTTGGAGCTGTCATGGGGGAGATTTATTCAAGTACCAGTCTAAATCTTTTGTGGTGCTTGGAACCTGTCATGGGGCAAATCACAAGCTTGTGAGCTTCATGGACTCAAAGCGACGTGTGTGTAGCCCTTCGAATCGTAGGAAGCCTGTCGGCTTTTGTTTTACCTTTCGATTGTAATGGACACATTTGGAACGCATTGCCCATCAAAATCCAACAAAAGACCTTTCCACTGTGTCGTGATATGACTTTGGGACACCAACGCTGCGTATGCTGAGTTTGAACTCTCTATAGTTGGTCCTGTGGTAACTAGCTAATAGAACAAGTGAGACAGCCATCACGTCGGTCAGCATGCCGCAGTCACGCATTGGCTTTACACTTGGAACTTGGAGCTCCATTTTCCCTTTCACTTGGAGGATTTAATTGTTGAACCCCGCTGCATATCACGTTGCTTTACTTCGGCAAACTTTTCACTTAGGCATCTTGAGGGCAGGTGGCAGTCAGACTGAACTTATTTTTGGGCATTTTCTTTTGGTGTTTACATTCTTCCACCACACCCAAAGTTTTAGACCCTACAAATGGGCGTGGCTCCACAAACGAACGCTTCGAGAAGGAGGGGGACCTGGACGTGGCGTTTGGGATCGAGCCATGATTCTTTTTTTCATGTGAAAGCCAATTCTTTACTCAAGCAGGGGACGTGCTGTTTTGAAGTTTTAGAGAACTTGAGAGCCTGAGGCGTCCCGGAAGGCGGCGCGGAAGGTACCTTCTGAGGTGGCAGTGGCACCTGTGAGAGATGTGGGGATTGGGAGAGATGGATGAGTTGAACGTTGAAAGATGTTCAACGATGTTTTCGTGTCAGTTTTTATGTGTAAAGGGTCGTTTCTATGTCGTAACTGTTCACACATTAATTTTTGTAGCAAGTTTTTTCCTGGTTCTACAGTGTGTTCTTCGTACTCTTTCGCCGCAGTGCTTGATCTTGGAATCGATGCCCTTTTCCTTGGAAGAAGCGTTTGCAGATCACATCGGATCGGCCGCTGCACGTGGCAACGTGGTTGTATCTGTTTTCTACAGGTTCGCAAGAGTTTGCTCCTACCATGGCTCCTCCTCCATGGAGGAGGACCCAGGTCTCGGATGAACCGATGTATTGTTGTAGCAAGGGTTCTGGATACTGCGATTTAGTACCTGTATGACCAGTGTAGGACAGGATGGTTGTAGCTGATTGATCAAACTTAAAGCGCAAGTCACATGTCCCTCTCAAAGATGCACCCCACCACACCCTCTCAAGTCGTACCGACTTAGCCATGGATCTTCGTTTAAATGGAACATTGAAATAACTTGGATGTCCTTCACTTCCACACCTTCCACCAGACATCCAACACACCCTCACAACAGCAGAAGCCCACCCCACCGCCTCTGCTGTGGTTGACCTTCACTTCACCCTCACCCACGGTGCCCACGCCGGCCGCAGTCAGAGACAGCTTCGTCGTTCCTCTCCGGGGGACGACCCGGTTGCCGCGCCGGGACGACCAGGACGACTTCAATCCGCTGCTTGAAACGGTTCAGACGGCGTGGAGCTGAGCCCGAGCCTGGATGGGAAGGCATGGGAATCCGGAAGGCCTGGAGGAGCTGTTCTCTTTAAGTGGGGACGTTCCAGATTGCAGATGGCCAAAGAAAGTAGACCTCAAAGATTCTTGGAGTATATAGAGAGACCTTAAACCGCCAAGTCCGTTGGTTCTTCTTCTGGAAAATCAGGATGCTATGGTCGGTTCTGTCCATGGGAGTGCAGGAACATGCAGGAACTAGGTCCACCAGGCTACAGGAGTCGTGGAGTTGGGTCCGAAGGACTGTTTAGTTTTCCCAAGCGTGGGAAGGCTTTTTTGAGCTTAGGGAGTTGACTACAAAGGAAAGGGACTAGATGGGAGTTAAAGAATGTTATATAATAGATAGTGATTCTTTCTTCAAACACCTAGAAACTTTTGGCTGCAGCGTTTCATACAGGACCCATCCATTTAACGGATTTTTCCTATTCGCTTACGTCTCCACCGGAGGAGCGCGACGAGGACGTGAAAACGAGTCTCCCCCAGGACGGGAGAGAGAAGCACCGGAACCGGAGAAACGGTGCTGTTCAAAGGGGCGCCAGGAGGTTGTTACTACTAGTAAGGCACTTGTTACTACTAGCGAGGCACTTGTTACTAGTAGCTTCTTTTTTGAACATACCAAGAAGATCGAAGAAATCGATGCCGGCCGTGGGTCATGGCTCCCGGGTTGACACGGTTTACACTGCACGGAGGAACAGAATCGACGGAGGTCCTCGGGGTCTCGACCGGGTCCGAAGAAGCCAACAAAAGCCGAGGGAGCCGAAGCCGTCCACGGGACACCCCAGCGAGGTCGCAGCTCTGCAATGGACCTTAGGTCTGACCTTAGGTCTGGGGGATTCAGTAATGAACAAGAATGATTGCGGCATAGTGTGACCGACCTCACTGGAGGATTTTCATTGGTGACACTGAGTACTGTAACACCTTGACACCATTCAATTAATCACCTCTATAAAGACCAGAATGCTAACAGTTGCCTGGCCTAGCTGCCGCCTAGCCTTTATGCATAAATCGGTTGGGTAACACAGGATGTGGCTGTGAACCCCTCCATCTTGTGATTCAAGTTGATCTTCGGACCCCAATTGACCCAATAGATTTGTACCTTGCTATGATCGTCTTAGTATCGTTCTTGATCCACGCTCTTCCTCTTCATTTCGCACGGATTTCACGCCAGGAGGAGCCTGAGAAGAAGGCCGTTTTGGTGCGTTATTGGTCCGTCCAAGGGGGTTCCATCCGATGGACGGGCGGGGAGTTGAAGCTTAGACTTCCAGCCATCCATTTTTTGAGGCTGCATTTCAAAGCTGTTGACTTGACCCACAGCCCTTGATAGATAGACTCTCTTGATGCTGATTGAACAAGCAGCTTAGCAAGGTTCTCCAAGCACTGACCCATGCCTGTTCTTAGATAGCTGCAGTGGTTCGTGCTTAGGTCCACCACATCTAGGAGTTTACCATTTCGTCTTGTCTCTGATGGCACAACGAGTTGCAACCATGAGACCAATCGACCATTTGTGTGCCAAAATGGTCTTCCGGGCCGTTTCAAGAAGAGTCGAACACACTCCCAGGCTGATCTTGTAGAGTAGTCGTTTTTGTTTTTGTTCTGGTGGAAAGCGCACAGCATACGGAGAGGACCTTCAGTCAGATCGGCTGACTTGGCCTGGAAGAGGTTATCTCTGACCACGGGAGTCGCTCAAATCCATGTCTCATATGACCAGGGGGACGATGTTTGGACCGCTCCGATGTGGGGAATGGTCTCAATTTCCCTCATGGTCTCGTGCAAGTGTTGGCTTGGATGAAGAGGGTCGGACTTCAAAAACATCCCGTAAATGCAGTAAAGATATCACTGTAAACGATCCTAGACTGCCAGCTCCCAGATCGAGGTAGAGCACGAGCGCTAGCTAACACGCCACATGGCTTCGCACCACCCCATCGCTCGCTGCCAGGGCCCTGATGAGCCCCTCGAACCGCCCACACCAGCGACTCGACTCCGGAGCGGAGCGGAGATCGAGACGTGGCGCATGGTGCGATCCCCACGGTGCGGGCGCGGCTGAAGAACGGCCGCACCTGGTGGGGAGGGCGGCGATGGATGGCGTACGTTCCCGAGGGGATGCGATGGGGTAGAATCACAGAAAGGGTATGTTAGTGCCGAACAGTCACTGAAACTCAAAAAAGCATATACATCCAATGTAGCCTTCCGCAGGAAGGTGGATGTTCTTTTGGAGCTTAGGTTGAGGCTCTCAACTTTTGGATCTTTTGGGCGGTCAAGCCATTTCGTCGACTTCTTTGCTGTAGTCACTGTAGTCAATGCCCTTGACGGTTGTTGTGGGGATGGTCATGGGTGGTCACCCGATTGAACTCATACACACCCGAATGGCTGAGTAGTAGTAGTAGTAGTAGTAGTAGTAGTAGTAGTAGTAGTAGTAGTTGTTGTAGTAGTTGTTGTAGTAGTAGTAGTTGTAGTTGTAGTAGTTGTAGTAGTAGTAGTAGTTGTTGTTGTTGTTGTTTCTGTTGTTCCCCGTTGAAGGAAGCAAAAAGGACCGGCCAGGACCCCTTTTCTTTATTTTGTTTACGTTAAAAGTCTTAGATCACTCGCCAGGTCGCTATGTTGTAATTTGCATTGATGTGGTCGTTTTCCCCACCCTGCTTGCAGCTAGAATTGAAGGTCCAGAAATCTCTGGATGGCATGGCCCCGTAAGGAAGACCATGAAATCCACTACAAACAGGTGGTAAACTCCACTTCTATGTTAGTTCCAGGGAGAGTACCACTGCTGGTGTTGTCCCACACCAAAACTCAGAATGGGCGACGGTCCATCCATTTGCACGGTCCATCTGAGTCCATCCATCGCAGAAACGAAGTTCCATGCGCTACTCTCCCTGGAACTAACATAGAAGTGGAGTTTACCACCTGTTTGTAGTGGATTTCATGGTCTTCCTTACGGGGCCATGCCATCCACGTAACCATGTTAGTTCTAGGGAGTGTAGGAAGTCTTTGGTCCAATCATGGTCCTCCCGTGGACGGCCGAGGAGGACGAGGAAACCTCCTCTACGGTGCATGCACGTGGCAGTGGGGGGGCCCGACAGATGGACACCGACAGATGAATCCGTTCCACTGTTTGAAGAATCACAGAACAAGGATAGTGATTTGGACTCATCACAACTTACAACAGAATTGCCGGCTAGTGTTCTACCCATCGGTGTGTGCGTTCTTCTTGCCATGTTTGTTTCATAGAAACGAACTGGGCTAGGTCACTCCACTAAGGACCCCCTAAGCCCTTGGATGAGGCCGCTGTGATCGAACTAAAGATTATGACAGAGATCTGATATGCCACGTGTAGCTGCAAGCACCGGCAATTCGACTATGCGAGTCAGTTTTGGGCGGGTCACATGGTGTTGTGGCAGGTGTCGAGACTGTTTGGGGCCCTGTATCAGAATAGGGAGACTCTGCAAAACACACAAGCAAACGCCAGGGGGATCTCACTTTTCAACTATACATAGAACATTAGATGAAACAAATATAATATATACATATATATACATAGACCCTGCTTGTTTGATTTTTCGGACCTTTCAGAACCATTTTGCCCGTCCATGCGGGCGGTTGCTCGCACGCGGATGGATTCAATCGTTTTTGCACGAGGGAGTATCTTATGAACGCAATCCTATGCATATATATATATATATTTAAAAAATAGTATATATTTTTTCAATCTTATGAACACAATCTTATGAACCCTTTCAGCGCTTCAGAGTCACACTGTCTGGTTGCTGACTGCAACCCACCCCACCCCACCCCCCACCCCCAACCCGCTCATGGGTTTGCGCGGCAGAAGTGTGCTTTGAAAGGCAATCAAAAGTGTGCGTGTGTAAAGATGAGGTAGAAAACGTGTGTGTGTGTGTGTGTGTAAAGATGAGTTGTCATCTGTGTGCGAATCTGAGTGAGATTTCACGGGGGGGTCTGTGTGCGAATATGAGTTGGATCTGTGTGCGAATATGAGCGGCCTCCCGTCCATGCCGTCCTCTTGCTCCTCAGGTCAGATTTCAGTCGGGGGTGCCCAGACTGAGTGAGAATCTTGCTGTAGAAAAGAGACCTCTAGAGACCCGAAAAAGTCTTTTAACTGTGAATCAAAGGTAACTATAGCAAGCGGAGCATCATTAGTACTAGGAGCCCTAAGCGGTCTCGGAGTCTAAGCCGTCTACGACGCATCTGGACACCTCGGACCGGTGGCCGGTGGCCGTTTCGATCGAAAACGGAGCCTTTTGTGGGCCGGCTGGTTTGCCAAAAGAATCCCCAAAGCACCATGACAACAAGTTGGTTTCAACCAGTCCTGTCTCAACCAGTCGCAGTCTGCGAAAAACCCAGAGAAGGTCGAGCACGAATGTCGATTCCCGCTTTCACCGACCCTCTTGCGGCACCGCCTTCCCCTCTACTTCCCCGTGAGACAAAGAGTGACTCCGAAGAGTCCGGATGACTCGGGAGGCTTCAAGCCAAGCAGAGAGAGTTGGGAAGATGCTCCAACAAAAGGAAGGCGGAAAGATGCTCCCAGTCAGGCCGTCGCTCTCGAAGCCGGTCGCGAGAGAGACGGGGTCAAACGACGGACGTCTGCGTCGTCGGACGGTCGCGTCGGAGGGAAGTGAGGACGGTCCAACGAAAAAAAAAGGTCGACCGGATGGGGTCGACCGAATGAGGACTGCATCTATACTTTGCAACTGATTTTCCTACCAAGTGAAGTGATTGAACTTCGGGTCCCTTCGGGTCCTCAGCCTGCGTGTTCAACCTGAAAAAGAGCTGCTTCTGCCGAAGGCGAAGCCGTTTCAGCAGAAACCTCGCTCGGTTCGTTCCTCGCTTCCACGGCCCACAGGGATCCACTCGACAAGCAAGACAAGAGGATAACACGACAAGAGGAGCGGAACTGCGGAGCGGTGGCTTTTTTTGGAGCGGTGGCTTGTTTGGTGTCCGGGACGCAACGTCCAGGGCAGGCAATGGTATAGGCAGAAGAATCTTCAGTGACGATGTTGAAGGCGACTAGCTCGTGACGGGGCAGAGGGAGGTTCTGTGTACACTCGCTCGTGGGTCAAAACCATGGGAGGCGGACCTCTATAGTCCATTCTGTCCATGTTGGAGGGTCACTCAAGCAGGGTCACTCAAGCAGCTTTCTTACAAGGTGATATCTTCTCGACGTAATTCAATTAATCAATCATCATCAGGGTCTTCAAGCAGTCGAAGCTCCCAATTCTTGATCTGATGAACATAGATGAACAGTGATGAACATAGGGCTGGTCTCCAGTCAATCCGAGTGAATTCCACATATGGTCATATCGCATTCCCCAGATCTGAACAGACTCCTTGGCTCCAACGGGTGTATTGGAACGGTGAACACAAACAGCACCAGAGTATTAGGGTATAAGTATAAGTGAAATGATACCTTGTGCAGTTCATAGGGGATACAAGTTGTTGACGTGATTCATGATGACTTCTCGGCTTTCCTGTGATACAAAACACATCAAGACACCTGGCACTCAGTGAAGTCAGTACGAACTAGTGCCTCAGCATTCTAGTACTCACCAAGCCTTTTTTTTTTGATCAAAGGTCAAGCAAAAAGATTAAAAAACACGTCCTACCGACGCTGATGGATCTAGTAAAGTGATAAACCATCAGAACTGAACTCTGGGCTGGCCTCCAGTCAATCAATGTCGATGCCCACCATCTTACTTAAGTTGAATTCTGTATACATCCTCACTGATCTTGCACGCCTGTGATGGGTGATTTTTTTTCCATGTCCTCATCCGTACCTCGAGGTCAAGACCCCAAGGTCCGGATTTCGGAGCCCAAAAACCTGTTTCCAACATCGCTCTGTGCCCATATTTTGGATCCTACCGCTGGAAGATGATGGGACGACCGATTTGACTGAGAGGAGCGTCGCCCTCCGATGCCAGGATGAGGATTCAGACAGCGAGAGGCGGAGAAGGAGTGGTAGGGCGGTCTGCAGACGGTGAAAGGAAAACCTCAACCTGAGATCAGGGACCCTCCAGCACCTGAATCAGACCACACCGGAACATCTCCCCCTTCAGCACTCAGCACCCAGCCTTCAGCGCCTTCTCCCGGCCGGAGATCAGCGAAGCGGCCCCAGGCCACTCCAAGACACAACCGTAGATGGGCAGAACAGTTCAATCACTTCAAACCACCCCAAGACCCCTTCCACCCCAGGCCACTCTTTCTGCTTCGTTGCGCCTGCCAGAAGGGACGAAACAAATCAAAGCCTGACAACGCACCATTTTTTCAAGAAGTCGCTGTCAACATTGAGCTTTCAGATGCTTTGGGATGCTTTAGGGTACAGTGACTGACTTTGAATATGTTGGTCCATTTACTACGTACCGTTGCTGGAAGAAGGTCGCTGGCACCACTGGTACCACTGGTGGTTTCACCCGTGCTTTTCACCAGCTGCTTGAGGTCGGTCGTTCACTTACCCGTTTCTCACCCGTTTCACGTGGCCAGGGACCGGCGGGGGATCGACGACTTGGATGAAGAGTTGGGCGAGGAGTGAGGCGGGGCGGGTCCGGGGGATGGGGACGAAAAGGCCACCGCGATGGACTGGAAGGCCCCGGACGGAGGTTTGCTGGACCCATATTTGCGTGGGATATCCCCTTTGCAGATCATCCTAGTGAATGGCAATCTTGTGAGTGAAACATGCGTTTTCAGCAGTACCTCGTTCAGATGCCTTTTCCAGGCCTTGTTGTGTTTGTCGACCCAGACTCTTCAAGACCTTCGTACTGTACATACAGCTCCCTACTCATTGTGTGGGGTGGGTGGGTTAACCCCTTGCGGCAGATCGCATCAGATCGCCCTCCGCCGGAAGGGCTTCGTCACGGAGCCTTCGACCGTACCTTGAGGCTCCGCCAGCTAGCGACGCTCTGACGGCGCAGACAGATGCTGACAGACATGGCACGCAGATGCCCTTCCGGCCGGACAAAAAGATTAGCAGGTGGCTTCAAGGTCTCTTTCTTTGGCCATACTCTGAAGATCTACATATTATATATCCACATTTGTGAAGACCAGAAAAAGAAGCGCGAAGACTGAAGACGCATCCATTGACTGCATGGGATAATTATAGAGGTATAATGGATGGAAACAGTCTTTCCCGCACCTGGGCATGCTATTCACTTTGAGTGAGTCAGGGAGGTTCACGTTCACTCGCGAGCGATTGAGTCTTTGGTGGCGTGAGGCTTGTTGGGGCCACCGAAGAGGCATTGGGGTAGCTAGAATCAGATTTTAGATGATTTTAGAAGAGACCGCCAGTGGGGGCACCAGCTGGGGGAAAACTTAGTTAGACCAGTTCAACTCTAAACCTGGCCGTGGCCGAGAACTTCCTTTGGAACCCCCGGCCACAGCTGCTTGTCAAGTCATCCACCATGTTCCATCCATCGAAACGCGGCAGACCGCGGTGGTTTCGTATGACTCGGTGGCGGTCCTGGGTGGTTGGCCGGATGCCATGTGCAGGAGCCGGTGCTGACGTCATGTGGGGGCCAGGCGGCAGATCTCCGACGGGAAGATGGCGTGTCCTGTTCCGAAAATCGAAGCCGCCTGAGACAACAGCAGCTAGTACTGCCCAAGGAGTGTGAGGTTGGATGTCAGAGGTAGGGTGCTAGGTTTTCCAAATTACAAGCGTTTCAGCACTTCCCGTGATCCATTCCATGCCTCAAAAAGTGCCCTCACCTCCAAACCTACCAGTCCAGAAGCTGGCAGAACTGTTTTGGTAGAGGAAAGATTACCGCAACTTGGAGAACCTGAGTCATACTCCAAGATCTTCTCAACCATACCTGGTCTGAGTCCTAGAGTGATGATGATTCTATTCAACGCCGCTCGATCACGAGCGCGATCCGGAATCCGGACCCTCGCACGACCTCGACGCTGGGGGGCACACACTTATGGATATGCATACGGAACTGAAAGCGGTGCCACACGCCAGCCTAGGTTAAAAAAACCTGAGTAAAACAAGGTGCAAAAGTTGGGGGTCATC